GACAAACCGGGCCACTCAACACAACAAACCGGCCCACTCAACAATGACATTGTTGTGACAGGTGATGATATCACAGGTATCTCTCAGTTAAAGTCATTCCTTGCTTCTGAATTTGAGATTAAGGACCTTGGTGATCTCCGATACTTTTTTGGCATTGAAGTTGCAAGATCCAAGAAGGGGATTTTTCTGTCACAAAGGAAATATGTACTTGATTTGCTTCATGATGTTGGGAAATTAGGGTGTAAGCTTGTAGAAACTCCAATTGATCCCAACCACAAGTTGAACTCTACTGAAGGAGAAGTTCTTCCAAATAGGGGGGTATATCAAAGATTGGTGGGACGCCTTTTGTATTTTTATTTGACTAGACTTGCCATTTCCTATGTTGTTGGAGTGGTTAGCCAATATATGCATAAACCTAGGACATCTCATATGTAGGCAGTTAACAGAATTTTAGCCTACCTGAAAGGATGCCCTGGCAAAGGGATGTTGTATTCCAACCATGGCCATCTAAAGATTGAGGCTTACACAGATGCTGATTGGGCAGGGTCCATCGATGATAGAAGATCTCCATTCGGTTATTGTGCTTTAATTGGAGGGGGCAATGTGGTTTCCTGGAGAAGTAAGAAATAATCTGTGGTTGCTCGTTCTAGTGCTGAGGTAGAGTATAGGGCAATGGCTCATGGAGCGTCTGAACTACTCTGGTTGAAGACCTTATTGACTGAGATGGGCATCCAAGCAAACGCTCCAATGAGACTATATTGTGACAATCAAGCAGCCATAAATATTGCTCACAATCCTGTCCAACATTATCGTACAAAGCATATTGAGGTGGATAGACACTTTATTAGAGATTTGCCTTCCTTTTGTAAGGTCAGAAGACCAACTAGCTGATTGCCTCACTAAAGGTGTTCACCATCCAAAGTTTGCTAAGAACCTTCCCAAACTGGGCATGATTGACATATATGCTCAGCTTGAAGGTGAGTGTTGAGAATGGTTAGACAGGGGTGTTTTTGGTCATTTTCTCCTTCCTTGTACTCTCTCTGTATTTGGGCACCCGGATAGGGGCCTTCTTGTAATTATTAATTTTCAATTATAAAGTGAACTTGAGGGTGTGAACAGTGAACTTCACACACTTCTCGACACTTCCCTTTCTTCTTCCTCTTCTTCTTTTCTTCTTTTCTTTCTTTCACTCTCTTGAAACCCTAATTTCTGCAACTGGCTTAACCATCCAAGTGTATGGATGTAATGGACACTTGCTGGGTTGCAGGGGTCTTTTGCCACCACCATTGGCATTCTGTTGGGTGTTGCTGCTGCTCAAACTTTCCTTACTTCCGGAGGTAGACAATTGATCAATTTGGGTGATGATAGCAGACAACATCTCCTTAATTTCCTTGAGATCTCCAGTTACCTTATGGAGGTTGGCTTCTATTTATTTGACTCTACCCTCCATTGCACCCGCCACCCAATTTGGTGACTGGCATTGGGAGGCAGGGCTCTGATACCAGTTGATATGGGCTTATCAGATTACAACTGTATTCTATTGAGCAGCTTCGAGAGTGCTCAAACCTCTTAGTGATGTGGCCTCCTGGTATATATGTATCTGATAGGCAGTTTCCTGGGTTGGACCAAGGTGGAGTCAACACTATGGTTGGGTGGGGCTGAGTGCTGGGTACCTGCCTGCAGTGTTGGGCCTTGGGCGTTATCATATTTTTACATGTTATGCTCATTTTGAGAACTTGACTGGGCATTGGTTTCATGATTGTAACCACTGTAATATCCATTTTGGATAATCTATCTACTTTTGGGACTTTAGTGGTTCCTTCTATACTTTTCCACTGATTAGTCATTCAGATCAAAAAAGCCCCATAGGCACATGTTTTATGTATTGGTTACAACGTCATAGAACCTGCTCTCCATGAAATGTATACTCCTTGCTTTGCTTGATGCTTTTAGCGCCAAAGTCTTCTCAGGTATTTGATTCTATTGCTATTAGAAGTCTCAACGGAAGAAGAAAATTGGGTTACTATCAGTGGCTGTTCCTGGCTTGAGAAAAAAAGCTAACATTAACTGTTTTCCTTTCAAAGCTCCCTGTCAACTAGTTGTTAACTAGATTTCACAAAAGGTAGCAGACCCCTACTCAAGGTTTTTGCTCAAGTATAATGTTGATCTACTTGGGTATGTTTTTCCCTATCATGCTGTACCAAATTGTGTCTGGTTATCACTGTACAGCCTTGAAGTGGGCCTTTAACTCTCATATAAGAGTTTCGGCAACAATAATTCAGTAACACTTGTACCATAGCACAATCACAATCACAAGACTCAAAATTTCCATAAACAAATTGTACAATAATTTGAAGTGGGCCTTCAACTTTTAGATGTTTATGATTTATATAAAAGGTACTTTCTTGGAATTTTCTTAAAATAGCAAAGAATACATTCAATTGCCTCTAAAGTCTGTTGTATGGTAGTTCCTAAACAACAGTCAAGGGCCTTGGCAATATAGGCACACAATCAGGGAAGTAAGGCTGCTGAGATGGATGTGAGTGGAAAACTAGAAAGGATAGGATTAGAAATGAAGTCTTCCAAAGGAACTCAGGAATAGCTCCTATAGGTGATCAAATGAGAGAAAGTAGGCTATGATGGTTTGATCACATGCTATAGAAGACCATCAACAGCACCCATAAGAAGTGATTTGTTGCTAGTTGAAGGGGCTAGAAGGGCTAGGGGTAGGCAAAAAAGGATATGGGTGGAATTAGTAAGAAATAATTTAACAATGGAGATGGCATTGAACAGAACAGATTGGCGAAACAGGATACAGGGAAGTAAGGATTGGATGATGATGATGGTGATGATGAATCATGGAAGTAAGGCAATTGGGAGTGACTTAATCTTGTGTTCAAAATAAGTGTCAAACAGACTAGCTAATTAGTTGGTCAAACAAGGGACACAAAGGGAACAACTGTATTGGGGAACATCTTTCAGGGTTGGGTCTATTGAAAATTTTAAAAGGAAGGAATCCCAAGGGATAGGTTGCAAGGGTTGATCTAACTCTTTCAAGGGGTTTGTTAGAGAATATCAATCTATTCAAGGACCTCACCTAACAGCTTAAGCTTTTAGGTTGAATGGTTCTTTGAGATGGTATCGGAGCCACTTTGACCAAGTGGTCTTGAGAGGGTTCTAGGACATTCTTTTGATATCATTAATTCTTTTCATCATCAGTAATTTTTCTTTTCATGTTACTGATAAAAAAAGAAAAAAATCCAACATCCATGAAATAAAAAAAAAAAAAACTTTTAAATTCTGAATGAAGAAAATGCAGTCATGGGACATGTATGAACTGCTAGAGAAAGAATATTCATTACATGTTACTGAACAAGGATATTCAGTGTCGCAGTGTGTTGCATTCTAAATATTCATTACATCTATCTTATTCTGTTGCATTCTAAATATTCCTTTTCAGACTTCCTTTTTAGTCTCTTATCTTAGAGTCTTAACCCATATTCAATCTTATTGACAATAATTTTTCCCTGTTTCTTTCAGCCTGTCAATCCATCATCCAGGGAATTAAACAACAGTACTTTGCCTGCATCACTTCTCATGCCTCATCTTCAGAGCCTTTTTCAGCAGACCTTATTCCAACAGGTTAAAGAAAAATTATTTGAGTCCTCTATTTCGCTTTATAACTATATTCCTCTTGAATAATCTTTTTTTTTTTAATTAACAGGATCTTATTATGGATCTTTTGAATAGCTTCCAACAAGCTGAGGTAGTAGATGGTGAGTGAAAAATATGTCCAAATATGTTCTTAGTCATGTTAATCTATGATACAGGTATTTAACAGGTTTATTTAAAGTACTTGAATTGTCTTTCAGCTTTTCAGAATGCAAAGGTGCCCCCACCACCACACAATTTAGATAATGATGCAAATGTGAGTGTTTCTCTCTGTTATAAAGATGATGAGATAGGACTTATAATGGTGTTATTTCTTTCACTGTTCATTGATACGTATAGGCTGCATTTTGCTCCACCAAAAATTAATTAGGGAATGCCTTGAGGACTCTCACATGACTTCATCTTCTCCACCTATTTCTGAGGAATCAAATACAACCATAGAATAGTTTGATACTATTCCTATGGTGGACTGAAGCACAGCAAAGATTTTTGGTTCTTTTTGATTCTTCTATCTTCGAAATGTATATTCAAAATAATAAAAAAAGGAAGAAAAAGAGATCCCTCAAAATAACCAGAACCAACCACCCAACACTGGTCACCCTGTGTTCCTTAATGCTTATTGAGAAAATTGTTTTCTTGGTAAATCTGCTACTTGTACTTATCCTGTTCCACGTTCTAATAGAATTGCTGACTCTTTATACCACTACCCAATGTTGGTCTCAGCTATCTGGTGTCTTGGGAGGGTTGGACTGGATGAGATCAAATCAGCCCCCCACAAGACTGCGCCCCACAACGTCCCACAGCACATCTCTGCTGTGTATTGGGAACATCTTCCCATGATAGTACCAGAGATGATGATGTCATCATTGGGAGATATTCCTAATACACGGCAGGGATGTGCTGTGGGACGCTGTGGGGCACAGTCTTGTGGGGGGCTGATTTGAACTCGGACTGGATATGGAACTAAACCTTTGGCATCACATTTTTCTCTTGCCATAGAATTCTTGACTGTATATTCTTTTTTATTTACTAAAAGTCTTCACCTGTTCTTTTGGCAGGTTGAAACAGCTGCTTCCAAAAGAGAACGGTTATTACTTGCAAAAATTTCAGAACTTAAAGCACGGTAGGCCATCATAATATACCAAGTAGCTAAGCTTTCACTCCATATTTTTACTTATTTGCTTAATTTTTCTATGTAGGATGATTAGTTTAACTGATGAACTGACTACTGCAAAGTTGAGACACACACAGGTAAAGTGTACCTACTTCCTTTTGCACTGAAGTTTGAATAACAAACTACCCTAATATTTGTGATTGCAGATAAATAAATCCTACACCAAATAACTTGAATTTTCTATTATGGATATGGTTAATAGTATTCACGGTTTTTGAGTCAGGTAATTTCCAGGATCTTTGCAGCTTCAGCTGGTCATAGCCTGAACTGACTGTTCCAACCAGCCAACCTCATCTTAGGTTAGGACAGATATTATTGTATGCCCTTAAATCATAAGACATAATGCTCGCTCACTTACAATTATGGTATGCTAATCAATACCTAGCCAAGCCCAACCTGGATTATTTATGAAAATTAAATTCAGGGTGCACTTCGGTTGAATGTTGAGTCCATTTTCTGGTTGGATCAGGTAACAAGTTGACTATTAGGTTCTTGGCTTCTAAGTCAACCCTCCTTCCTATATTGCATCTTGCTAGATTGAACCTTAAGGCTGTGTTTGTTGCAGTGCAAATTCATTTACACTGATGCAAAACTATGGTAGTACAAATGATTTGGGTGCAAGTTTTGATTTATTTTTGCTTCAAATTTTACCTTACTTTGTTTGGTTGCAATGGAAATGAAGTAAAATAAGACCCAAAGTAGAATAAAGTAAAATCCAAAAAAAATTAAAAATTTTGCATTTTTTTCATTTGCACTCCCACACATTTGTACTGGTGCAAATAAAATTGCACTGCAGCCAAACACAGCCTTGAGAATATTTTGTTCCACTTCACTTAACATRCTCTGCATGTACTAAGAGCAGGCAATGGGTGCCTGAGATGATTTTTAACATCTACGAGATTAGTAATAATTCCTACATGGCTTGATTTCTCTGCAATTTCCAGTTGCAACAGCACTTAAATGCTACATGTTGTCCGGAAGAAAGAAGCAGAAGAGGATAAAGAGGCTCCTCAAAAATTGAAGTTTGAAACTGTAGAAAGAGCAATAACCACGTAGATTTAGGTAGTAGTGTTTCTTTTATCAGTCATTTTTTCACATTGACATTCTTCTTTCTGCTAACCTGTTGCTTCTATTACCTGTACCAGTAAGAAGCAGATGTAGGCAAAATACTTACCGACTAATTATTGAAGGATTTTCTGCAAACGATCCACAGCCTCCCTGGATGGAAAATAATAATAGGAAGGGTAAATGAGTTTCTCGAGAAAATGTATTTTGCTTTTATTCATTTATGGATTAGAAGTGAACTCTTCCATCGGGGGCGATATTTTTGAATTAATCGCCAATTAGGAATGCCAAAAGTTTTGGCGGTGGTGGAGAATATGCTTCTTTATTATCTTTTAGATGTTATGAAGTTTTGATTTATAAAATTATGATGATGTTCGATATATATTTTTCTTCACAACTACTATTAGATATGTTTTTATTATTATGTTTTATACTTTAATTATCCCGCCTTTTCTGGTATCAGTACCGTCTGAATCAAACAGGTTTGTAATTCCAATCTTGACCCAAACTAAATGGACACTTTTAAGGCTCAGTTTGAAAGTAGTATAAATATAAATATGTAGAGCGCAAAACCTTGTATTTTATATTGTTTTGTATATATTTGCACTGCACATATTTGTATTTATACTTTTTTCAAATTAAGCCAAAATACAGTACTATTTTTTTCTCGGTGGCTGTAGGCCTGTGGCTTAGGTCTCATCTGAGTGTTTTTTCTAACAAGTCAGATTTTTTAGGAAGGACAAACTTAGAGACCTAGCTACCACCGATGCACATAGCGTGCCCCACATCACATTCCAACCATGCACTGGGAGAAAAGCATCTCCCTGTGACAGGTATGGTAGATGTTCCCATTGCATGCTGAGATGTTCTCTGGGGTGTGGGGTTTACTTTCATATTATAGGATATGAATGCTAGGAATATGAGTGCCTATTCTCTGGTCTCTACATAAATTTGAAAAAAGAACATGAATTTTTTGTTAATAAGAATCAAAATTTCATTGACCAACTTTTCCTCTCTCAAAATTCAGAAAAAAAGCACCCCCTAAGTGTYACATTTTTAAACTTTGGAAATTTTCAGCTACTATTTCAGCAGTTATCAAATGCCATCTCGAGACTTAACTAAGAGTTTAGGAGTTAGGAGAGATGCAAAATTGATTTTATTGGACTATGTCATGTCAATGGAAAAAAAAAATTGTATGAATTAATTAATTGGTGATCGTGGAGGAAACCCAGATGAACCTACCATATATTCAAGGCGATTGAATGTATGGGTTTTCCTTGCTGAAGCCCTTGGGCCCTTGGCATAACATCGTTTTCAGACTTGCCTGTGGCCTGTGGGCTATGCTTAGAAAAGTCTGTGATAATGAAAGTGTAACTAAAGAGAAGACAGAAGAGGCTCACGTCGAGTAGGTGCGTGCTATCCATTGACTACAGATCGGCAAAGAATTAATGGTCGCCTTATCAGAGTTTAGACGTTAGACCGAGCGAGTAATATAGAAGTAGAGCAAATGAAAGCAAGAACTCAATTTCAATTTCAATATGGCTTCTTGGTACGTCCATACACTATTTTATACATTTGTAGGCAAAATTTATGCTTTTTCCATGTTTACTGCGTTTGGGGTTAATGTTGACATGCACTTGACGGGCAAGAGATTAGATGTAGATGGAGCTAGCCCAATGATGACAGAAGAAAACCAAAAAAAAACACCAAGGCTATGTTTGGTTTGAAGGAAAATGTAGGGAAAGGAAATGTTTGGTTTAAAGGAAAAGGTAGGGAAAGGAAGGAAAAGACAGGGAAACCAATAGAAGGGTTGTAAAAGCTTCCCTACCTTTCCCTACATTTTCCTTCAAACCAAACATAGCCTAATTGATGATGGACAGTACAGTTGCAATAACACCAATCTCCAAACCCTTGGTCATGGTTAATGGTTTGGTTCAAATTTCAAACAAAAAGGCTGCTAAACATGGAGACTACTTCATATTAATTAATTATGCACAGGTGTGTCCACCTTCAAGGAGTTCAAATCAGCCCCCCCACAACGTCCCACAGCACATCCCCACCGTATATTGGAAATACCTCTCGATGAAGACATCATCATTTCTAGTATTATCATTGGGAGATGTTCTCAATATATGGCGGGGATGTGTTGTGGGACGTTGTGGGGGACAATCTTGTAGGGGGGCTGATTTGATTTCATCTTCAAGTTAATCAAACAAGGCTTTAATTTTTTTTGGCATTGTTTTATAAAAATTTAAAAAACGAAAAGACTTATATGAACTTAAAAATCAACTTTCAGTGAAGTTATTATAGATAATTTTTTTTTGGAAGTGGCTCTATCAACGCAATAAAATCAGCATACAAGTCCTGCTAAACGGGCTCTAATGGATCATCTGAAACGTTATGAAATTCATTTGAATTTTTGTTTTCCAAATCGAAGGTGGTGCGAGATTGCTCCATGGTAGAATAAAGTAAACTTAGGGTCTGTTTGGTTGTGGAAGTAAGGATTTGGAATGAGAATCGGGATTAGTCATTCTGATTCCAACTGTTTGTTTGGCTGGAATTGGAATCCCATTCTCATTCCTAGTGGAATGTCATCTCCCATTTAAGGGAATGGCCATTTTCTTTCATTCCCTTGGAAATGAAGTTTAATTCCAGCTAATTCCAATTTTCATTTTGGTTTATGTCTGAACCAAACAAATTATAAAAATAGACCATTTTGGTTCTGATTCTAAAAAATTTAGATTCCAATTCCATCATAAAACCAATTTTAAATTTAGCATGCGGGCTTGACCTAGAGCCTAAAAGCCCAACTCGATTTTTTTTTGGTCGGGCTCGGGATTTGTCAAAAAATGTCTGACCCAACTTTTATATAGCTTTTAAACCCTAAATTCCTAAACCGACTAACCCTTTCCCATTTCCCTCTTTTCATTGTCTATCTTCTCAATTCTCATTCTTATTCTCAAACTCTCAGGAACTGGCGAACTCAGGCACTGACGCCACTAGTGAACTAGGTCATCTCTCTCTCTCTCTCTCTCTCTCTTGTTAAGTTTGCCCACCTTTCCCATTTCCCTCTTTTCATTGTTCTATCTTTTCAATTCTCATTCTCATTCTTAGACTCTCAGGAACCGGTGAACTTCGGCATCGACGCCACTAATGAATTAGGTCGTCTCTCTCTCTCTCTCGTTAAGTTTGCCCACCTTTCCCATTTCCCTCTTTTCATTGTTCTATCTTCTCAGTTCTCATTCTCACTCTCAAACTCTCAGGAACCGGTGAACTTCGGCATCGATGCCACCAATGAATTAGGTCATCTCTCTCTCTCTCTCTTTCTCTCTCTCTCTCTCTCGTTAAGTTTGCCCTTAATCATCTTCATCTTTAGGAAAATGAAAAGCAAACAACAACAAATTTACAATCTTGGGGTTTCAGATAATCAAGATGCCTCCACATTCAAACCCATTCAGATTAATTTAACCCACATTTGGTTGAATAACTTTAAAGTGAATTGAACTTACTAGAAAAGGAAAAGAAATTGGATAACTAAATCTGCCATGAACAGAGGAAAAGCTTTTGGATACGTGGATTCATACTTTTAATGTTAGTTAAAAAGATGTGGGACTGCTGAGAAAAGAGGAAAAACATAACTCGTTAGGTCGGGATTAAAGCCCAAATTGTAAGTCTGTTGGTCGGATCGGATTCGGACCTGAAAAATTCTGTTAATGAAGTGTAAAATCCCAACCCGATCCTAATCTAACCCTGGCAGAAGAATTTGAAACAGGTCTATTTTAAATACATCATTACGCTCCCTGGGCAGAAGAATTTAAAACTTTTTTTTTAAAACAAATGACATAAATCAACAGTATTAAAAGAAGAGATAGCAGAAATTTCACTGTCTACTTTCACTTTACAATTATATTTACAGTGTATGCGTGGTTGTGTTGTAGTGTTGTAGTTGGCTGGGCCCTAGCAATCAAAACAGTATGCAACGTAACGCCCCGTGCAGTTAGGATGTATAATGCTGGCTGGGAACATAGATATATGATGACACTATCACTTTGTCATTCGATGAATGTTAAATAAAATAAATACATAATGTATGTATGCATGTATGCTTTTCTGTTATTGCACCTTCAATTATTTATCGCTTTGTCTCTTGGCTTGCATCATAATGGAATGATGATGAGCTAAAAAACGCCTAGCTACCTAATTTTTAAAACATTAGTTCCAGCTAATAAAATTCTTCTAATATATATAATAATTGTTTATCAGAAATTCTTTATTAACACATTACTCATCAGTCAGTGCAAATTTGAATAGAAAAAGATTCAATATGGGTGGTTCACCTTTATATTGGAATCCGCTAGACCCCTTGTCACACTAATTAATAATATTGGCATCAAACCTCCCATTATTAATTTATTATTAGATTAGCTAGGGTACATCTTATTTTCATTTTTCATAACTTCAGTAAATGAAGAAATCAAATTTTGTTGAATCATGAATCATGAATCGGTGGAATAGAATTACTTGCTTAAATTATTGTTAAGATGCTAGTTAAGCTGGGGCTGTGGGATTTTAGGTCACCAGTCATCAGTCAAGGAACTGAAAATTGTAGCATTATTATGATGGGCCATCAAACGAGGTGATTTTGGAGGGCCCAAAGTGCCCTTTGCTATAGTCTAGCTATGAATTAGTGCTTTAATTTTTTTTTTTTTTTTTTTTATAAGAGAATAATGCTTTGATAAGAGTATGAAAGGATTAATTCAATAAATTAAAGCATTAAAAAACTGAATTAATGCTCTAATTTAGGTCAATATGATTTTTATGTTAGTGGCGCTCCATAAATCTATAACAAGAAAAAAAAAAGAACATAATTAATTATTGTAATCAATACAGTGAGAGTTTGGTTGTCTACTTGTCTATGTAAAAGATAGGTGGGCATGCGGATGCCCTAATTTATATTACACAGACTCCAGCTGGCGTTGCTGAGTTGCTCGCCAAATGCAATTGCCTGTAATAATTGTATGTATATATGTAGGTGCTAAGCTGGCAAGGGTGGGTTGCAATTTGCAAATGCAAAAATGCTGGTGTGGGTTCAATCAGCAATCCCCTCACACTCAATACAGATACCAGCTAGCTGGATGTTGCATTGTTGCTTGTGTTCGTTTTTTTTTTTAAAAAAAAAAAGATAAATGCTTGTAAAAACATTTTAAATCTTAAATAATTAAAATGATCAGTCTCGCCCTCAAAGTATGCAAGATGAAAAGGGTATTTTAAATAAATTAAAATAATGAAAACAGCTTTTATATAATAATTTGAGAAGAAAAATGATATTTCCAAACTTTACAGGGTCTAAAGTAGTTTTTAATAAAATTAAAAAGGATTGTAAGAATGAAATCTAGGTAT